AAAGGATTACAAAATAAAAGCCTGACAGAGAGCTCAGTGCACGCGCTCAGTAAAGGATTACAAAATAAAAGCCTGACAGAGAGCTCAGTGCACGCACTCAGTAAAGGTTTACAAAATAAAAGCCTGACAGAGACCTCAGTGCACACGCTCAGTAAAGGTTTACAAAATAAAGCCTGACAGAGAGCTCAGTGCACGCGCTCAGTAAAGGTTTACAAAATAAAAGCCTAACAGAGAGCTCTGACTGTATGAATAAAGGACCCATCTGCTCAGCAGCAGCATCAGACTGAAGGCTGGACCTGGAGCATCTCAGTCTATGAATCAGTTTCACTGCCACCTGGTGGTGAAATATTAAACTACACAACGCTCCTTTGGATGTTCGTACCACACAGAAAATGCTAGAAGCCTGAAATAAAGAGGAAATCAGACGAACACTCAGTTTATCTGTAACCTGCTGGAACGTGTCAGTTATGTGTTGAAGATCACTGACAGCTCAAACTATATGCGGCCCTTTAACATGGGTACATATTTCCTCTCCTCAGCCTCACCTGCAGAGCTGACATCAGGGCTCGAACATATGAACATGTTATTATTTTACTGTCAGTTACCTCAGATTGGACATGTGACCCTCCAGTCTCCAAACAGCTGACAAAAGCAGCTAATGTAATTTAAAACTATTCAAGCATGTTAAAGTATCGTGTGCAGAAAATGTGTTTTTGCACAGATTAGAGGAACCGTGCAGTACAGAGGAGAACAGAGGCTGATGTTTCTGAGGACCAGATGTACTCTGAGCTCGTCACACCCTTCATACCTGCCTGTATCACACACTGTGACTGGTTTCTACCCTCTGTCTGTGTGACTGAGCCTCACCCGGTCGTATTTCTCTCGTAGCTTCTGGGCCTTCTCCTCGTACGGCAGCTTCTCAGACTGGGACAGCTTGCTCCACATCTCTCCCAGCTTCTTGGCACAGTCTCCTATAGACAGCCCAGGATACTGCTGCTTCACACTGGGACGGTACTCGCTGCAGAACACGAAGAACGCAGACCTGCAGACAGACAGGCTAGAGCTGATCCAGGATCTGCCTCTGTGTTTGAACTCAA